CTTATGTATATATGTATGTATGTATGTATATATATATATATATATATATATATATATATATATATATATATATATATACACACACACACACACATACACACACACCATATTTACGTGTGCAATGAACGCACTTTTCTTTCTCGAAAAATCAGAGCGAAGTTGGGGGGTGCATTTATTATGTGGGGTAAATTTTAAGAAATCTTTTTCGGGAGAGGCAAAAAATGGGGTAATGCAAAACAAGGTTAAGTCGCTTAGCCTTTCGAAATTGACATACGCGTACACTGTTTGCAAACAGGTTTCTTTCTTCAGATTTACATTACAATTCGGTCTAATAATCTCCTCTATACTTTCCTTGGCACTATTATCTGTTAGATCTCATTAATGTTGTGTTAAGCACAGAAAAACAAGCCCTCAAATATACACTTCTTTCAGTGTGTGTATATATATATATATATATATATATAGCTAGCCAGAGTCATTTCAAAATACCTGGTGAATTCCTGGGAAGTGTTAGGTAGCCTGAGCTGACTTGGGGATGTCTGCAGAAAAGCAAAGAGCAGTGCCTAATTTCATGTTCAGGAATAATCTAAGTTAAGGTGCATGCAAGCGTGTGTAGACAATTTTTTTTTACATGTGATGCGACAGCTCCGGCTCGGAGACAAATGTTTGTGGCTGAAAATGTGTGGCAAGTAAGTGCTTCGAACGGTTGTTATGCTACTCTATAGTGAGATATTAGTTGCTCTAGAAGCTGCACCACAATGGCTTTGGTCAGTCACATCACTGAGTATGGCGAAATGGTTATATAAAGTAAAGGTGGAGAGAGTGCTAGAAGACATACAAGCATGTGCATGGTGCCCTTTCCCCTGCACTCATTTCTAAGATGACCATTTGTCCAAAATGTCCGGGGAAAACCCTGTGCCTCAACTAACACTAAAGTCATCTAGACCGATGGGTTCTTTTTAGAATATAATAAAAGGTAATGTTGGCAGATGAATCACTTTCAGTTAAAGCAAATAGATCCCATAATTTCAAATTAACTTGCTTGTGGTGACAAGAAGCATGTCCATATTGGTGCCAGCAAATCTGCAAAAGTGCCTATTCTCTTGTAAATATCACATTTTAAAAGCCTAAGCATATTTCATGTACAAAAATGTAGCACCTGAAAATTCCGTTACGTATAATATGTGTAAGAAAAATGAGATGTATGGGGAGCCACAGATAGACCGAAAAGGTCACAGGGGAAGCTATTTGTTCTGTTTGATGTATGGGGATGAATAAGATCCAGGGAAATGAAAGTGTGCTTGCTGTAGGCAGGGGACGGAGCCTACATGCACCTAAAGTACCTCCATAACAAAGTCAGCAAAATTGGCAACATACTTCGTTATATCAAAACTTTTACCTTGACCCTTTTATGCAAAATATAGTCACAGGATTATTTTGTCCCTATAAACTGTTAAATAAACCTTCTAATAATAGGGCAGCACAAAAAAAATAAATAAACTAAATGCAATGGTTAAATGTATATTTATATATTCCCATATTTATTCGCATAATCTTCGCACTTTTTTTTTCTTGGGAAAATCTATGAAAAGTTGGGGGGTGCGAGAATTATGCGAGGAAAATTTTCCGCGAACACGTACAGAGCGAGTAAGAAAACGAAGTCGTCGCAAATCGGGATGCTAACGCCTGCAACAAACTACAAGCTTCGGGAAGTACTACTAAAGAATTAGTCGAACCTTGGTACAACAAAAACTGAAGGGGCGCGGAAAAAATATCGTAGTGACATCGAAAAAAATCTAGCCAACCTGAACCAGCAAAACAAAGGAACGTTTATTATCAAAATTCAAAAAGTGTCCGCTGCTTTTTATTCAATCCCAGCAGCTTCACGACGCGATTCTCGCCCATGCATAGCGAGGCCATGGTGAAAAGCACGCTGAAACAATGACTGCAACCACTTTCGTGAACGAACGAAACTGTTGCATCAACACGTTAACACCAGCAGCTGTCCGCCGTCAAAACGTCGAGATGGCAGCAGGGTATCATGGATCGCTGACTTTTGCCTTATTTTAAGCCATTCTTATTATCTATCACTCGCGGCTAGCTGAGTTTGTTGATAATGCGCACGAACAGCCACTCTGATTAGTTACTACACTGGCCAAACGCGAACAAAATAATAAGCACAGGAATCGGAAAAGGCATCGGGCAAGGTTCCATTTGGCGTTGCATAAGTGGTTGCCAGACTGGAAGGGTGGTTGTTGCCAGACTGCCGCTAAATTTCGCAAAAATTTTTTTTTGTAGTTGTGGCTTTTCCGCAAGAGTTTGGTGCTATCCGCGGTGCACTTCTTGGCTGAAAATGTTTCTCCTGTAGTGGCTTCTCCGTAAGAGTTTGGTGCTATCCGCGGTGCACTTCTTCGGTGTGGAGCCTAGCAGAAGTCGAGCGTGGTGCTGCCATGCAATTAAGAGGCCGTTTAAATTCCGTTTTAATTAACGGAAGGAACCGAGCCTAGCAGAAGTCGAGCGCGGTGCTGCCGTGCAATGAAGAGGCTGTTTCAATTCCGTTTTAATTAACGGAAGGAACCGAGCCTAGCAGAAGTCGAGCGCCGTGCTGCCGTGCAATTAAGAGGCCGTTTCAATGCCGTTTTAATTAACGGAAGGAACCGAGCCTAGCAGAAGTCGAGCGCGGCGCTGCTGCGCAATTAAGAGGCCGTTTTAATTAACGGAATGAACCTCCCATTACAGAAGTCGAGGCTCGTTCTCTTGCTGTGTGCGCAGCTGTGCGATTAAGATATCGCGTCTCAGTATTAGGGATTACGAGGAAAACTGATTAGAGTCGCAGGAGGGGATGCGCTGCCCCCCTTCCCCCTTACTTTTCTTTTTTTCTCTCTCTCAGCTGATCGTGTCGCGTCGACCGCGCGCTACGACGGTGGACGCTACGCTTCCGTGAATAGCACCAAACTCTTGCGGAGAAGCCACAACTACAGGAGAAAAATTTTCAGCCAAAAAGTGCACCGCGGCTAGCACCAAACTCTTACGGAGAAGCCACAACTACAGGAGAAAAATTTTCTCCCAAATTTAGCGGCAGTCTGGCAACAACCACCCCAAAGTCTGGCAACAGACTTATGCAACGCCAAATAGAACCTTGCCAAGGCATCGTTCCCCAGATGCACCCAGCAGCTGTGCGAAAGAAACTATGAATAAGTTTCAGCTTCGGATCGTCTGCGGCTGTACAGTAAACCCAATCTTTAATGTTTCGATGCATTTTCAGAACTCTAAAATACGTCAACGAAGTCTGAAACACGCGTTGGCACCACCAGAAACCACCGCTGTTCAAGAAGCAAGGGCGTCGCCATTGCTCGATAGCGATGGCAATGAGACTACCCTGTTTTTGCAACTGACAAAATCAGGGCAGTCTCGTTGCCATCGCCATCGAGCAATGGCGGCGCCCGTGCTTGCTGAACAGCGGTAGTTTTTGGTGGTGCCAACGCGTGTTTCAGACTTCGTTGACGTACTTTCAGGTTCTGAAAATGCATGAAAATGTGAAAGATTAGGTTTAATGTACAGCAATAAATATATGAGCTTGGAATCGCATTGTGAAATTTCATTGAAGTGGGACGGCAGAAGAAAAAGTGTTCGTTGTGGCGACGATATTTATGCATTGCCTTCTATGGACTGCTGACGGGGAACCGGGAATTTTTGTTGAAGCGGCGTTTGTTGTAGCTGGGTTCGACTGTACCTTAACAAAAAAACCACAGCTTTAAAACTAGGCAAGATTTATTTGAGACACAAAAGCCGCAAGAAAATAGCCGCAGCACCCGAACGCAAAGCTTGCGGGCGCTGCGGCCGTAGCGTTAGCAATCGTCACTCAACGGGAGCCCACGAAAGGTTCACGCGTGGCAACAACCTTGGGCTGATAGCCATCTAACACGGAATCGTCTGCGGTTGCCCTCTGATGAAATAGTTTTACCATCCATCCTAGCCTTATGCACACGAAAAGCCCAACGCGTCTTGGTGGCTTTCAGCTGCTCGTGCTACTGTCGCCAGTAGCAAACACAAAACTCGTCGACTTCGAGGTCCTTACAGGCAGCCCTGCTGTCTTTGTTTAGGGCATGATTAATCACCTTCAACTTGAAAGCAGCCGTGCAACTTTCGGGCCGCCCCATTGCATAACCACAAAACGGGCACAACGTACAATACATGCGACAATGCGCACTTGCCTCTTTGGTTTGGCTTAAGTTAGACTGAGGCTCGTGCCATGACCTCTTAGATTGGTGGTGCTCGCCGTTATCTCTGAGGCCATGCTTGTGCGTCGATAGTATGCATCATGCTTATGAGATAGGTCCATGCTTTTGTGCTCTGTCATCATCGGTGTTTTGAAAGAGCAGAGTGCAATAATTCTTTAATTTTCGAGGGTGCGATAATTACTCGTGGCGAAACGATCTTATTTTTGCTGGTCAATGTGGCGGGTGCGATAATCATGCGAGTGCAAGGATTACGCAAGTAAATATGGTATGTGTAACTGCGTTGGTTGTAGAGGACACAGTATGATGTGGTAAGGTGCTTGCATGCATGCTGTCTGTTTCAGCCGCTCCATAGACGGGCATTCTGGTTCTTTCCAACTTCTGCTGAAAAAGGTGCCCGGGGGAAATTCTTCCAGCTGCAACACACAGTTTAGAAAATAAGTTTGCAAACACCACATGCAAGTCAATCACCTGACTGCTGGCACCAGCACAAGTTCCAATTTATTACCCAGCTATTCCTGAAGCAGCTGCACTGAAACTTTATTACATTGGAATTGTGCATAAGCATGCTTTCTCATGTAGTGGGTAGAAATGTGTGGTGTTCTGTCAACATTAAGTTATAAAATGCAAGGTGCTTCTTTACACTCATAATTTTCCTATATTGAACAATATTAAGGTTAAGCTGTTTATTTTACGTTCTTCCATGTTTCTCCTGCCCTTTGATAGGATGCCTCTAAGCCATTGACTTTTTTTTTCTTATAGGTTACATGCTGGAAGTTCAGCCTGAGAAGAGGCCAGATATCTTCCAGGTGTCCTATGTGGCATTTTCATTGGCAGGCAAAGACTGCCCTGTTCAGAACCTTCATGTAGGTCACATTCCTCACTGACTTGAGTGCTTAATTCATCTCTGTTAATACGTAGCATATTGGTATCTAATAGTTTTACTCTGCCATTCTAGCAGTATAATAATTCGGATGTGCTTTTATTTATTTTTATACATCTAGAATTCACCAATTCCAAATATTGAACAGCTTCCAGTACCTCAGTGTGACAGCGAGGGCAAAATGTCATCATCAAAGACTCCAAGGTAGGGCTTGTTTTTGTTTATAGTGCCCTTTCAAATAGTGCCATGTGTAACTATTTCAGGAGCTTCTTCAGAGCATTATGTATTATGTTTACTGCACAATGCTGAGTTTCTTACAGTCATCATTAATTTAAATGGAGCAATCTGAGCATGGTTTCCATGACCTTCATAAAATACACGCACATAACTGGAATGATATGTTACTCGCAGCTGACCGCCTTAATTATTGTGACTCTAACATTAATAGTGATGCTTCGTTAGCTAACTGCAACTATTTTTGGTAGCTATATTTGTCTTGCGTGCTTTAAGATGTTTTTATATTTCTATTAGTTTAACATCGTTAAAATTGCCAAAAGGAACTGCATTGTTTTTGTCTTGCATGCTTTAAGATGTTTTTATATTTCTATTAGTTTAACATCGTTAAAATTGCCAAAAGGAACTGCATTGTTTTTGTCTTGCGTGCTTTAAGATGTTTTTATATTTCTATTAGTTTAACATCGTTAAAATTGCCAAAAGGAACTGCATTGTTGGTTGCCCCCCCCCCCCTTTTTTTTGCTGCATTAGGTTATTAGTGACTGCATTCCCAGAAAGATTTGTGGGTAGAAAAATTGTACACTTCATTAGATCATGCTGTCTATTTATTTAAGAAATAGTTTTTATTTTTCTTTACACTGCCGTTTTCTAATATGTGGTCAATAAGTAGTTCGATATAGAAACTTATATTGTTGGGAACACATCCATGTGAAAGTGACTACTGAAAATGGACAATCACTGGAATTTTGGAATGGTTGTTGCATTTCTTTCAAGAAAGAGAGGCAATTTATTAACCTCGAATTATTTTTACTGTAGAGACTTGAGTGCACATCTAGAACAGGACAGCACATTAATAAACATAGCATATTATGCAGTATCTACCCCATGCAAAAAATTGCAATTTTGGTGAAATTTTCGGAATATTGACATTGCCCAAAAGTATTCCTAACTGGAATTTGCCAATAAACTATACTAAATATTGAAGTCCAGTCATCAAAGGCTGTACAAGTAAACCATTTATTGCTCTTCTGAAAAATAAACGTTACGTATACTGTAAAATTTTATGCATGCATTTACAGTTTTTACTGAACCAGAGGGAATCCTTGTGTTCAAAGTTGTGTGGGCTTGTGCGAATATTTGAATGCTTCAAATATTTAAACAAATAGTAGGGTATTTGAATTCGCTTCAATTCGAATTTAAGTTATTGAAAATATCGAAGTATTTGCAAAGAACGAATGAACACATATTAGTCCGAATGTATTGCCTGTAAAGGTGGTTTCACTGCAATGTAGTGGCGCTGAACCGTCAAAACACCTACTCACAAAAAATTTACTTTGCTGCGAAGCTCCCCTTCAAATTTAAAAAGGCTCCTCAACACTTTTTGAGTATTGTCAGAAAACACTGTTGATCAGTAGTCGAGGCTACCGAAGACAGCAAGCCAAATATTATAGCGCAGCACGGGCGTGCGATTCACATTAAATTCTCAAAAAGTCTGCTATAAAATGCTCTTTTCTCTCAGTAAATGACTCCACAAGCTCAGAAAACATGCGTGACATACTTTCTTTTCCCGTGCCATCCCTTCCTGCTTAGCTTCCAGTGCTTTCATTGGAACGAGAAGAGAGAACGCCCTTGCAGCGTGTGAGAAATTTTCGGAATTTTCGCACATACGAGACAGATTCTAAAAATTTTTGCGGCGGTGAATTCATGAGGCAATCAGCTTCTTTAGTGAATCCATGCTATGGCTATTCGAAGCAGTGTCGCAAGGCCCCTTTAAATGAAAATCAATTCCCTCAAATCAATTCATTTCATTAAGCCTACAAGCTTGTTATAATGGCTTATATGCTCTACGTATAATAAATTTCTAAATTTTACCTATTTCAAGAGTTATGACTCCCATCCTGTTGAAAGTAAAATCCTGCTATTGGTCAAAGTTGTTTCGACTCTCCTTGAACGAAAAAAGAAATGGCATTTGCATAGAGGGCCAATTTCAAATTAAAAAAAAATATTGTGCAGGTTAGGTCATGATGAATATGCCCATTTTTTTTTTCCTATATGTCATACAGTCGAGCCCACATATAACGGCCCCTTTAAAACGAACTTTTGCTTAAAACGAACAATATCCGCATGACCGTGAAAATATACATTGGTTCAATGGCACAAAATCGCACTTACTACGAACGTCTCCGAGCGCCGCTGATCGGTTACAGCGAAGTCAGCGGTCCGCCGACTTCCCGGAAAACCAATTTCGACCACCCATTAGGCATCGGCGAGGTGCCCATACCTTTTTATTGTTAAACGCCGACCCTGCCTCCGCGCCCCTCTAGTTGCCGCTCTCCCAGACCGCTTTTTGTTACGCACCCCTCCGTCCTTTGTCCCCGTGCTACTCTGAGCACCCCGCATCGACAGACGAGGCCCGTGTTTTCACACTGCCACCGATCTTTCGAAGACCGGTCGGCCATCTACCCTGTTTTTGATCGCTGGTACTGTCATTGGCGTCGCCGGCCTGGAGTGACCAGACCAGTTGCCAACATTGTCGGCCACCGACTGTATCCGATAGTCTGCGTCTAGTGCACACGCTTACGCTACCCCACCGACTCTGCTAATTTGTGATTCGTTTCGTGTTTAGGACTTATTCTCGCTCACTTTGCACTCGGCTCAGCATGCCTTCTGCGCGCGTGTGGAAGCGTGAAAACGGCTGTTAATTTGCACGGAACGAATCGCAAAATATCGAAGTTCATGAGGCCACGCGAACCCGCCGGCGCAATGAAAAGATTTTTCGACTACGGCCGCTGATTCTTCGACCACCGCCGCATGCACCGATTTAGGCGGCCATGCACTCTCTCCAAGTTTTTCTACTTGCGAGTTTCACGGCCCTTTCAAGCAAGCTACCCAACCTGCCTCCTTCCCGTGTGTTTTGGTTTTCAAAGTAGCCCTCCCGCCACATCCTCCCCTCTCTTTATCGCAACTCCTTGCCCTTCTCTCTAGCAAGTCTGCTCTCCTCTCTTGATCACAACCCCTTCGCCCGTCTCCATCGCTCCGTGACTCCCATCATGCTGGCTCGAATTAGTTTCGTTTTCTGACTGGAAATGGGCCCAGAGCTGTTCCACACGCTCTGGCATGTGTGTCGCGTGTGCACGTCTTGCTCGCTCTTGGTGTACGTGTGTGGTCATGATGGCCGACGGGAGGACTAGCACGTTTTCGTGCCGCTCAACAAAACGTCGTAAGTGTGACCACTTGGCTTGAGCGTAATCCGTGCGTTAGGTGCCGCGTTGCAGAGGGCTTGCTCATATCTGTTGACCACCTGGCTGCAAACTTGCCACTTTGGGCGTCCCGGTATTCAGCTGTGGAGATGGTGAATATTTCGTCGGCGGTGGTGACGGCTACATGCGCGCAAAACTGTTTTCGCGAGGCCGACTTCGTCGACGTCGGGCCCGATGCTGAGCCTGAAGCTTCCTAACTGCGGCGGCGATTTGTGGCAGCGCGTCGTCGACTCCGACCTGGGACAGCGGGTGGGACATCTGTTGCAATGGTTTAATTACGGCCGATGATGATGTCGACACAGTGGAACCGTGCACGGATTGGGGCATTGTGAATGAAGTACGTGGCAAGAGTGATTTGAAGGAATGGGATTGCGAGAACTATGAAACTTCGAAATCAGTGCCTTATGCAGCTTATGCCACGGGTCTCGGCGAACGAGCACCCTGCCGTTTTAAATGAACTCGAGACCGCCCTTATCGCTTCTGCTCTTCGAAACGCATGCATCACGGACTTTTGGGGGCAAGAAAAGTTTGTGTTTTCACTCACAACTTTTTTTAAAAGCTGTGTTTCATTTACTACGAACTTCGGGATACAGCAAACGGATGCCGCGTCACGCTCAGGTTCGTTATAAGCGGGCTCGACTGTATATACTATTCTAATTCGATTCGAAATTATTTGACCAAAATTATTGTTTGCTTTGAAGTTGCTTCGTACCTAAAATTCACTATTCGCACCAGCCTAGTTTTGTGTTATGACAGGGGGGAAAGATGCTCTTCAAATCTTCTGACAAATTGTACTGAGCTACGGAGCGGAAACCTGGAGACTTACAAAGAGGGTTCAGCTTAAATTGAGGACGACACAGCGAGTGATGGAAAAGAAAATTATAGGTGTAACCTTAAGAGATAAGAACACAGCAGAGTGGATCAGAGACCAAACTGGGGTTCAGGATATTATAGTTGAAGTCAAGAAGAGGAAATGGATATGGGCCGGGCATGTAGCATGTAGGCAGGATAACGGCTGGGCATTAAAGGAAACAGACTGGATTCCTAGAGAAGGCAAGCGGGTTAGGGGGAGACAGAAAATTAGGTGGGCAGATGAGATTAGGAAGTTTGCGGGTATAAAGTGGCAGCAGCAAGCACAGGACCTAGTTAACTGGCGAAACGTAGAAGACATTTGTCCTGCAGTGGACGTAGTTAGGCTGATGATGATGATGATGACTATGAAGTGGTGTCTTGGCCCTGCGGTGATGCAGTTTTGGCCGTGCAGTCTGCATTTTTGCTTTCTTGTGCTGCCCTGTGTCGTTTTGTAAAGCCCAAGACTACCGGGACCAGCAGTGTTGCTAGAACAGAAGCCTCCGAGATAAAGATGTGTATCGTTACTTTTCCACTAGGGAAAGGGTGCATACCTCACCAGTGTTGCAGCGCCTCATATTCCTCGCACTGCTATGACATCTGCGCATGTGGGGAAAACCTTGCTCAGTCGTTCGCTGCATGCCAGTGATGTGTCATTGATGTGTTACGTTGACAAAGCGGGCATAGTCGCAACAAAGGGCTACGCCTACCTCTCTCTGCTGCGAGAGAATGGTTGGAAGGTCAAGGAGAAACTGAAACCAGCCAAAGCAGGTTGCTGTAAACCCCGTAACTTCCTTATTACAGTACTTTTTTGCAAGGTTCTTGCGGCAGCGTATTCACATTGTACAAGTGCGCAGTTAT